CTCCCGATCATGACCGTTGCGAAAAACTTTTCCGCGCCAGTCGAGTTGGTGTGGCTGACAACCATGTGATGCACTTTACGCTCGTCCTGGTCGTCGTCGTAGCCCCTTCTCTGGTCGCGCCTCCCTTCGGGTCGGGCTGACCCCTTCCATTTGTTCTCACGTGGTTTATGGGGCGGTGAGCAGCGTGGCGGTGAGCGGCGCGGTGGGGATTGTCGTGGTGGAGACATGTGCCTCCGTGGGGGCGAACACTGTTTCCTGGAATTTGGGTGCGAGGCTCGGCATGCTTTTGCGATGTGTCCTCGCCTCAGGCAGCGGCTGCACATGGTGTCTAGGAACCGACAGTTTGCTCGTGTGTGGTTCCCCAAACACCCTGGACACTCGAGGTCGTCCCGCTCGTCTCGCCATGCTCGCTGCTTCCGGCTGGTAAAGGTGCGATGGACGGTCTCTTCCTCGCCGGCCTCGTCCGATTCGGTGGCCTCCGGATCGAGGGTTGGCTCGCGATGGGTGCGATGGATGTCACCCCGTCTCATCTCGGTGGCCGTGGATTCAGACTCTTCTGTGGCGAGGGCCTCGTCTAGGGTTTCGCTGAGGGTGAGACTTTGATGCACGATGAGTCGCTTCTTCACGTGCTCGTCCCTCATACCCATGACGAGTCGATCCCGCAGCATATTTTCCAGGGCGACGAACTTGCAATGGGCTGCGATCGATCGGAGCTCTCCGAGGTACTTCCTGATGGGTTCGCCCGCCCATTGTCGTCGGTTGTAGAAGCGGTTCCTTGCGACTAGGAACCCTTTGGAGATCCCGTACTGACCAGCCAGCAGACGTTGGATATCTGCCCAAGGGGTGTCCTCGATGCTGGCTGGAGCGACCAAGGAGCGGGCCACGTGGTAGACCTTGTCCCCGCAGTTTGCAAGGAATAAGGCCTTCTTCTGATCCCCGGGAATGCCTTGTTGCCCATTCCCGGCCAGGTGTAGCTCGAATCTTCCCACGTAAGCGGCCC